TTTTCATTTTGGTAATAATGTCCTCCGACAAAAATTCTAATAATCTCGGTATTGTTTAGTAATATGCATATTGTATCGAGCTCTACTTATGTGCCTAATTTGTTTAGCTAGAAGCGGCCAGTGTTCACTGTAGACACAGAAAATTTGAATCCAACAAATGTACTGATAAATGGTCGGTAGACCGACGTTGAGGTTAAATGTTGGGTCAATTTAATTAATTGGATCATATAAATTAATTTAATTTAATTAGCCCAATTAGAATTTGATTTGAGCTACTGAATTAATTAATTGGCCCAAGCCCATTTCATATTTGAATTTAAATTATAATTATAATTTAAATATAGTATTAATTTTATTATAGTTGAATTGGATAATTATAATTTAATTTGAATTTGAATTAGATTATACAATAATGAACCTAGACTTGATTCTGGGCAAGGTTCTTTTTCTAGAATAATTAATTAATTAAAGGGGGAGTTTGTTGAGGAATGTTGGTTAGGTTTCTAGTATAAATAGAGCCTTCCTTTTCATTGCAAAACACACTTGAAAGCTTGAAAGCTTGAAAAACTTGAAGACTTGAGAGCTTGAAGGCATTGAGTAACTTGAAGACTTGAGGAATTGAGAGCATTTGAAGATCTTGAAGGCATTGAAGAACGCTTGAAGATTTGAAGGCATTTTTGTTGATTTTACAGGCAATTTGAATCCATTGCAGGTACTTTGGAGCTTTGCAGAATTGATTGTCTCGAAGATCTTGAAGTCTTTTGAAGGCAATTGAGGACCTTAAGGCAGTTTGAGTCCATTGCATGTGTTTTGAAACTTTGCAGGGCTGACGCTCGTTGTTGGAAGTCACGCCAATTGAATCCCGAAAGCTACGCCACTTAAATCCCGGAGGCACGCGCCACTTAAATCCCGGAGGCTACGCTATTTGAATCCCGGAGGCACTTCCATAGATAACGTCAGTGAAGAATCAGAGGACTAGACAGAGATTTTGTACCTGCATATTAAATTATACATACACTATACAAGGAATTTTGTGGAATATATACAAAGTTTACTTTTTTTTGTGTTTACATTCACTTTTAAAAAATTATGTGAATCTCAAAATTACCAATCCTGGTCTGAAGTCATTGAGTCCGTTATGGTTTATAGACCAAGGAGTTGCTAAACACTTACAAAATGGAGTGGATAAGATACCGAAAAATGAAAATGAAATTTGGGAAATGTTAGATGCTCAGCAATATAGCCTCCTTTAGTCTTTTTCTCCACAATTGTGGAATTGCCTCTGTTTAGGCCCTTTAAGACATGTTTAGAGGTATGGAATCAAGCTAAATACCTAAACAGTAATGTATCACTCAATTCTACAATGTTGTTGATAATTGACTTAACATGAAGAAAGATGGTATTGATATGGAAAATTTATAGGCAAAGCTTAAAGTTTGATAACTGAGTTTGGTACACTCATGCTTATTGGAAGAGCACCTGTAGAGCAACTTACCCAGTGATAGAAATTCATTGTAGTATTTTTCCTAACCAAATTAAGTTCAAAATGTGAAAGTACTCGGATTCAAATCCTTGGAAGCAACATTGTCTCATGAATCGTCGAGTTGTTCAAACGCCAATTGCAGGTAACCTCCACGCCAATTGTTCACACATCTACTTCCAAACAATATGCTCTAGTGACGCAAGGAGGTCGTGGACGAACTAGAGATCATGGTGGACAAAAAAAACACTAAAAATTGTGATTATTGCAATAAATTTGGACACACATGGGATCAATGTTTGAAACTTCATGGAAAACTAATGGTTACTTAAGTTAGTGTCGCTCAATCTCAACCGGGAGAACCAAGTTCTTGAACTATTTTCGCAACTGAATATAAAAAGTTTGTTCGATTTAAAGCCAATGCCAAGGCTTTCGGTGTCACCCCCGTAGCCCACACTGGAGGAATTCATACTGCCCTTATATCCCAATCTAGCCTTAGTGAACCATATGTTATTGATTTAGGTGCCTCTAAATATATCTATGGTAACTCATCTTTATTTTCTCATTTCATCAATTATAAGTCTCTTCCATCTATCGTTTTAAGTAATGGGTCAAAAAGTATTAACTACTGGAATTGGAAAAGCTTCACCCCTTCATACTCCGCCATTGTCTAGGATTTTTTAAATACCTAAATTTCCTTTCAATAGGGCAAATTTTAAAGGAACTATCAAATAGGGCAAATTATTGTGTCGACCGTTATGTGGACCACGGTCCAAAACTACGTCATTGAATATTATGTGTTAGAATAATGTACATTATGTGTTAAAATAATGTACATTATGTGTTAGAATAATGTACATTATGTGTTAAAGTAATGTACATTACGTGTTAGAATAATGAAACTTTTGGGTTAATATAATGTTCATTATGTTTTAGAATAATGTACATTATGCTTTAGAATAGTGTACATTATGTTTTAGAATAATGTACATTATGAGTTATAAAAACGTATATTGCAGTTGGGCGCACAAAAAAATAAAATTAAGCAAAACGACGTCGTTTTTGGACCCGTTGTCCACACAGCTGTGTGGACTACAGTCCATGCAATAACTATTGGGTAAAGCCCCTAAAGACCAAGTCCAGCACCCAGCCTATCTCAAACAATGTGATGGCGGTTTATAAGGAAATAAGTTATGTCTTCGCTACTAGCTATAGTGTTTGGCATAAGTTGTAAGCGCTTCTAACAAGTTGTAACCAAGGCTCTAATACCATGCATGTAGTAAAATATAGAGGAATAGAAAAGGAAAACAATTGTAACTAACCAAGGCTCTATGTTATTCTAGATTTGTGAGCATTGGCAGCATAACATTTATCATATGGCTCTAACTAAATGAACAGAATTATGATTCTGCTATATCCAATCTATTTATTCCTCTCTTACTATTTGGTTATGATTCATTTTAACTAAAATATGTATAGTAAATACAAGGGAATGAGAGAAGTGTAAACACAAAAAAAAAGTAATCTTTGTATATATTCACAAAATCTGTTGTACAGTGTATGTATAATTTAATATGCAGGTACAAAATCTCTGTCTAGTCCTCGGATTCTTCACTGACGTTATCTATTGAAGTGCTTCCGGGATTTAAGTGGCGCGTGCCTCCGGGATTTAAGTGGCGTAGCTTCCGGGATTCAATTGGCGTGACTTCCAACAACGAGCGTCAAGAATTTAGAAGTAATCAACCCTACAAAGTTTCAAAACACATGCAATGGATTCAAGCTGCCTTAAGGTCCTCAAACGCTTTCAAAAGACTTCAAGATCTTCAAGACAATCGATTTTGCAAAGCTCCAAAGTACCTGCAATGGATTCAAATTGCCTGCAAAATCAACAAAAATGCCTTCAAATATTCAAGCGTTCTTCAATGCCTTCAAGCTCTTCAAATGCTCTCAACTTCTCAAGTCTTCAAGTTGCTCAATGCCTTCAAGCTCTCAAGCCTCAAGTTGTGTTTTGGAATGAAAATGAAGGCTCTATTTATACTAGAAGCCTAACCAACATTCCTCAACAAACTCCCCCTTTAATTAATTAATTAATTAATTAATTATTCTAGAAAATGAACCTTGCCCAGAATCAAGTGTAGGTTCATTATTGTATAATCTAATTCAAATTTAAATTAAATTATAATTATCTAATTCAAATATAATAAAATTAATATTATATTTAAATTATAATTATAATTTAAATTCAAATATGAAGTGGGCTTGAACCAATTAATTAATTAATTCAATGGCCCAAATCAAATTTAATTGGACTCATTAAATTAAATTAAATTAATTTCTATGATCTAATTAATTAAATTGGCCCAATCATCAATCTCAATATTGGTCCAATAACACTTTAATCGGCCCATTTGTCGGGTTCAAATTTTCCGTGTCTACAAATTGCCCCATCGAGACTTGTCGGGACATGCCGTTTAATGTGCTTGGAGCGAAGGAGTCTCGAAATTTTAAATATTTCTTGAGTTCATCGTAAAGTTCCATGAACCCAAATGTAGGACTGTACATTTCGCGAGCCCAAATCAAAAGATTAAATTGGCACAATATATTCTAGTTTCACAAGCTCAATTATACACTTGAACATTCCATGAGACCAAAATTATGTTAATGACATGCTCTCCGTAGCATTATGTTAATGACATATTCCATGAACTTATGTTAATAACATATTCCACTATGTTGGGACTGCACCAGCGAAAATTCTGCGTCAACTCTTCTCTGCCATTAGTAATCATGCGAGGGAATAACGGAACTAACACTTAGCCATTAGTAATCTAAGCATCCGCATCAGTTGGGGAGAATTGAGGGATAATGTAAGAGTGATTAGGAAAGAGAATGTGGGGGGAGAGAAAAAACAAAAAAAAAATTAAAATTTTTAAAATAAAAAAATGCTGTAAACAGACGCGTCAGGCGCGCCTAGGGCTGTGCATAACCGAAGGAATCCAACAAACCCGCCCGGTCCGAAGCCCGCAACACAACATCCGACCCGATCCGTATCCGAAGAAGCGTTATCCAAACCGAAGGCTTAAACGACATCGGATTAGAGGGTTCGGATAGGGTAGTGTAAAATCGCATCCGACCCGCCCGAACTATCCGAAATATATTAGGGTTTGCACACCTCTAGTACTACACGACGTCGTATTAGCTATAGCTAAGTATATAAGTGTATGTTGATCAACTCATTTACCCTAGCTCTTCATTTGCGCAGTCGCAGACCTGAGACCTCAGCTTCTCTACTCTCTACTCTCTAGACTCTTCGTCTCTTCTCTGAGACTCTGAGTTCTCTGGTCTAATCTTCTCACTTCTTACTTCTTAGTTCTCTGATTCTCTCTGTTTATGAGACTCTAACTCAGAGTTTGATCTCTTCTCCTCTCTTGTTCTCCGTTAGTCTCTCTCTGAGTCTCTGTTACTTTAGAACCCTAGTTCTAAAGTCTGAATCTCTCGAATCTCAGACATCTCCGAGACTATGATAGTCCGATTGTCCAGTACTCCGGTGGACGGTGGTGGAAGCCCTTCTCTTGGTGATTACAGAGTAGAGACCCTTGTTCTCCGGGGAATATTCAGGGGAAATCAAGTAAAGCTGAAACCCTAGTTTTTATATTTATGATTTGTTGATTTTATTCACTGCATGTTGAGTTGTTTGTGTTGTATTGTGAATATGTTATATATTTTTTTTTTTGGAAGCTGTTGTAATCGCAAACCCTAGTTTTTTTTTTAATGTATGATTTGTTGATTTTAGTCATTGGCTAATTGAATGTTGATTTGTTTGTGTTGTATTTTGAATATCAGAATATGTTATATTTTAATGGTGGAAGCCCTAAACTGTGAGTTGTGATATACTGATATATTCTGATTATCTGATGTTTTGAATCTTTTGATGGTGGAAGCCCTTAACTGAAAAGTGTTGTGATTATCTGATGTTTTGTAATGTACTGATGTTATATTGTTATGTGATCTATTCTGAAATCTGAATTGTGATGTCCCTTAAAAATTTAAGGCTTAAATGTGAAATGGTGGAAGCCCTTAACTAAAATCCAGATAATGATGAACTGGATAAAGTTTCTGAATCTGGATTTCTTTGTGAATATGTTTATGGATGTATGACCCTTAAATGTTCTAAACTGTTTGTGCATAATGTAAATATGTAAATGTAATATTATGAAATCTTGATAGATGATGACACAAACAAGTGTCTGAATCTGGATTTCTTTCAATTGTTCGTATGCTTGAATGCTTGATCTGTTATTCTGTATGACAAACAATTGTTTGAAATCTGAATGTTGATGCCCATCTTTTTAGATGGAGAGCATCAGTCAACCTAGTTCTGGACCACAACCTTCAACTCAGGAGGGACAAGGACAACCCCAAGGCACTGAGATACCTCAGCAGCCTCAGGTGACTCCTGTTGTTCCACAGAAAAAGAGAAAAGAGGTTGAGTCCAGATCCAGGGTGTGGGAGCACTTTGTAAAGATATATGATAAAGAGAACAATCTGATTGAGGGGAGGTGCATATATTGTTCTAAGATCTTTTGTTGTCAGCCAAAAAAACATGGCACTTCATCTTTAAGAAATCATATGGTGGCCTGTCTTAAAAATCCTCACTCGAAGGATACAAGGCAGTCACTTCTGACTTTCAATGCTGTTTCATCCTCTGCACCAGGGTGTTCTGAAGGGGTAATGGGGGAATTAGGCACATGGGTGTTTAATCAGGAAACCATTAGGAGGGCTTTGTGTGAGATGATTATAATAGATGAGTTGCCCTTTAGGTTTGTTGATGGGATAGGGTTTAGGAGATTTATTCTAGTTGCCTGCCCAAGGTTCCAAATCCCTTCTAGGTGGACAGTTTCAAAGGATATTTTCCAAATATACCTAGATGAGAGATCAGTCCTTAAACAAATTTTTAAGGGTTGCTCCCAAAGAGTCAGCTTAACCACTGACACATGGACCTCTGTACAGAGGATAAACTATATGTGCATTACTGCACATTTCATTGATGATCAGTGGAAGCTCAACAAAAAAATCATAGCCTTTGTCCCTGTTTCATCTCATAGGGGAGAGTATATAGCCAAGGCCTTGGAGACTTGTCTGGTTCAGTGGGGTATTAAGAATGTTTTTACTGTCACAGTTGACAATGCCTCTTCCAATGATACTGCCATGGGATTTTTTAAGAGTAAATTGATGTCTTGGGGTACCACTTCTGTAAGGTCTAAGTACATGCACATGAGGTGTATAGCCCACATTCTGAATCTGGTGGTGCAAGATGGGTTGAAGTTTGCTGATACTTCAGTTAAGAGGGTTAGGGAAGCAGTTAGATGGGTTAGGAACTCCCCTGCAAGGCTAAAAAAATTTAGAGATCTTGCTGAACTTATTGGGGTGGAAGCCAAATCAGTTTTGCAGTTGGATGTTCCTACAAGATGGAATAGCACATATATGATGTTGAACACTGCAATCCAGTACTAGGCAGTCTTTGATGCCTATTTGGGAAATGATCCCTCATTTTCTGATGACCTTGGTACCTCTGTGCCTACTTTTATGGATTGGTTTAATGTGAACAGTTTGGTAACTCTGCTAAAAACTTTCTATGACATGGCTGTGAGAATTTCTGGTTCTCTTTATGTTACATCTAACACTTTCTTTAGTGAGATCTGTGATCTTAGTTGCATGTTAGATGACATGACTGGTAGTGAATCTGAATCTGAATCTGAAAAGGTAAATTCCATTCCTTAACTGAAATGTTTACTGTTTAACAAATCTGTATATTAACTAATGTTAATTATTTGCTTTTTTTTTTTTTTTTTTTTTTTTTTACAGGTAATGGGCACCCAAATGAAAACTAAGTTCCTGAAATATTGGGGGGACCCTGAAAAAATGAACTGTGTGATCTTCTTTGGCACTATTTTGAATCCTAGAGATAAGGTTGAGTACATGCCTGCCTAGTTAACTCAACTTTATGGTGATGAGAAAGGCAAAGCCTGTTTTGAGAAGGTCCAATCTGCACTTCTTGAGCTGTACAATGATTATGCTGCCACTTACTCTGTGGATGTGAACACTGAACCAGCTGCGGTTGCCCAACCTTCTCAAACTGTCTCTGTGAGTGTGCAGCCTAGTGCTGTAACTGTTGGTAGGCCACAAGGTAAGTTGAAATCTCAATTGAAAAGGCAAAGGATGGAGAGTGGTGGAAGCCTTAAACAGACTGACCTGCAAATATATTTGAGTGAGGCCATTGTGGAAGATAAGGTTGATTTTGATATTCTAAAATGGTGGAAGGTGAACTCTGAAAGACTGCCAATTCTCTCTAAAATGGCAAGGGATATTCTTGCAGTTCCAATATCCACTGTGACTTCTGAAAGTGCTTTTTTCAACCAGTGGTAGAGTGTTGGATCCATTTAGGAGTTCCTTAACTCCTAAGATTGTGGAAGCTTTAATTTGTACACAGGATTGGTTGAGATTACCAAATCAACCTATTCAAATTGAAGAAAATATTGATGATTGTGAAAGGCTTGAGAAAGGTAATAGTAGTTTACTTAAATACTTTCATTATTATGTATTTATTTTATGATACTTATTATTATGTATTTCTTTGTATGATAATTAATATGTGTTTTTTATTTGCAGAGTTGCCAACTGGGGTTAGGACTGCTGGAACTTCCCTACCAACCATTGCAGTAATGTTCATTCATTCTGCTCTCGGTTTTATATTTAGTTGTTATTGTGTTCTCTTAGAAAATTAGATTATCATTCTGTTTTTAGTTATGACTTATGAATTCAATTATGTAAGTGCATTTTAGTGCCCCAGCCCCTTCCACAGTTCCACTTGATTGAACATTTGAACATCAGGTTACAGCTTGACAGGTATGTGTAGTAGTATGGGCTATGACGATGCTTCCACCTTTGTCTGAATCAAAGGACTTGGGGTTGGTATGTTGCTCAAGTTTTGGATTTAGTTCCAAAACTCTAGAAGCAATTTCCCTCAAATCTTAATGATATGAAACAACAGCAATCTGAGCCTATTTTGGATTTTTGAGCATAAAATGTTAAATTGTTATTCTTTTCAGTTTTTTTTTTTCTTTTTGTTATTTGTTATTTGTTATTTAAATTTGCACCTTAAGTAGGAAGATGAGGAATGCTGAGTTGCTGTTGCTGCATTTGGTTTTTGAATGGTGCCTTAACAGCTTATTTTTTGAGAATTTGAATCTATAAACTGTGTTTTTATTTTTGAATTGTAACTTGTAAGTTGTAAGCTGTAAAGTTGTTAGCTTCATTAACTTGTAACAAGTTACTTGTTAGCTGTTAGCCTTATAGGGGCATTAGGCATAGCCGAATAGGGCTAACTTTTTAGTTGTGATTTGTGAACTTGTGATTTTGAAGTTGTAAATTGTTAACTACTAGTAGTAGTTAATACTTACTACTTAGAAATTAACAAGTTACAACTTATTTAGTGTTGATTTACTTATTCAGTAGTTAATTTGTAGTTTTTATGAATTTTTAATACATATCCGATTTAGTCCGTAATCCGATGCAAACCGTCCGAAATCCGATATTCATATATCCGGTAAGTTTACATTTAGAAAATACACGGATAGGGTTTAATAGCTATAATCTGAAAACCGATCTGATTTCCATTCCCGAAAACCGAACCCGCTCGAACCGTCCGATGCACAGCCCTAGCACGCCTGACGCGTGTTGCACGCGCCCGGCTTTGAACTCTTTCTGCGTGAAACGCGCTTAGAGCATTCACATCAGTTGGGGAGAATGGGGATAATGTAAGAGTGATTAGGAAAGAGAATGTGGGAGGGGAGAGAAAAAAAAGAAAAAAAAAGATAAAACTGTTTTTTAAAAAAAAATTAATTAAAAGACTTGTCAGCGCGCCTGACGCGCCACACGGGCGCGTGCAGTGTTGTGCGCAAACGCGCACAACATCTGCTTGTTTATTTCTTTCTTTTTTTCTTTTTTCTGACATTATTTTGTGTTTTGCAAGACAAATATCTCCACAAATAACCTCACCCCACATTTTTTATTAACCCCACCCAACATAATTGTTCTGACATTAACTCCAAATAAACCACAGATGTAGATGCTCTTAGTAGCGCTTGTCCTTTAATTTTTTTTTTTTTCTGCCATTATCTTGACATTTGCAGGAGGATTATTTTTGTATTATCATTGCTTCCCATCTATTGAAGTGCATATTAGTGTACTATTATCTCCCTATTATGCTTTGGTGTGGATGCTCTTCTCGTACGTAATTTCAGCACATAATCAACTCTAATTATCCAACAACTTCATTCAATCAGGATAGCATTAGGAGTGTAATCCAATCTTAACACCTCCTCGCAGTACACTATAAATACTGTTACAATCACCCCTAAACCCTCAGCAATCAACGAAATAGAGACCAAGGAAGAACAGCTCTGCTTCTCAACCAGGTAAATTTCTCAACTTTGTATCTTTCTTTTCCCATATACTCAACTTTGTATCTTTCTTTTCCCATATACATTTTTATTTTCAGGGATGGAAGTACATACGGCTGCATAAGATAAAACAAGAGGGAGCTGGGAGCAAGCATAAATGTAGGAAGCAATTCTGGGAGCGCTTGATTTTTTGTTGTAGGAAGAATTTTGCCAACCTTAAGGAACAATGAGCAACGTGAATGGATCGCCGGAGCTTTGCCGTCTGTCAAAGGCTCCTCGTTGCTGCTCGTGATGTCTTCTTGCTTTACAGGATGGAAGCTCACGTCCAGACGGAGACCAGAGCCTGCTGCTCAATCGTCGACCGCCGGAGTTCGCTCTGACGCGCCGCTGGAGTCTTCTTTTTTTTTTTTTTTTTTTTTTTGTCAACAGTATGTACTGGAGCCTGGAGCTGTCCCTACGCGATTCAATGCTGGGTCTGTTGGAATTCCTCGCCATCCCGTGGAACAATCATGATCGCGGGAACCACCGTGTTACAGCCGGAGCGTGAGTTTCCACTTGCAGTGCCCAAGTCATGTCACTGACAGAGTTCTCCGCTGGATGTCGCCGGAGTTCTTTACCATTGCAGGTCGCATCACCGGAAAATTTTGTGTTTGCAGAAATCGCTGGAGGCCGTCGGAGTTGTTGAAGGTCGCCGAACTTTTAGAAGTCGATGCCCTCTGTTCATCTCTGCTTCTCTACTGCTTGGATTTCGATGCTACTGGACTTGCCGATTGTTGAGCCTTTCGGCGGAACTTTTCTTCTTCTTTTTTTTTTTTTTCTTTTTTTTTGAAGTTGCTGGAGTTTGTTCTGATGCTGAAATCTCCGAAGCTCCTTGCTGAAGTTTGTTTGTCGCCGTCATACTACGATCGGAGAAAGCTCCATGGCTCAAATGCCCATTTTGCTTTTCGTTTTTTTTCAGAGGTCACCGGAGTCCTTGAAGGAGAAGATCGCCTAGCTCTATTCCCCTCCGTGGGTGGACGTCGCTGGATATATGCTGGTTTTCTCCTCTGTTGTAGTCCTGCTAGAAGATGGAGGCCTACCAATCTAATGTGTACCGCAAGTAGGATGGTGGACTCTTGTTCTTGGAGAAACTAATGTGATAATGTCGACGGTGCAAAGATGAAGCTCAGAGTCTGAAACATTCATCTGTTCGAGATCTTCATGTGAATGCTACATTGCTACTGCTAGTTTTATGGGAAATGACAGACACCATTAATTTCATTAGGCCCCACCTGCCATCTTTTACTCTACATCACACATAAATATATATGCACCTATAAAATATCCATGCTCCAACTTTTCCTTTTTCATTGTTTTTTCTTTTATTTTCTTTTACTTGTTTTTTTTTTCAGCTTCCTTTTCTAACATTTTTTTTTTGTTTTTTCAATATTCTAATAATAATAATAATAATAATAATAATAATAATAATAATAATGATCATAATAATAATAATAGTAACAATAATATTGTGTATACATGTATATGATACTCCGTATATTATAATATTAATATGTGCACCCTCATTTACTGACCATGTGACTATGCATGTATATATGACGTAAAATATATCTAATTCACTAATTTGGTCTTGTGTTATATGACATATGTATAAGCGCGTAAATAATATATCATCATTATTGCATTTTGTTTATTTTTGTAGTGACTTCATCAATCTTCAACACATTCAAGATGGTGCACTTTCAAGATCAACGACTTAACGGGCAACAGACCATGGTGCTATACAATAATCATAGCAATCACTCTACCGCCCCTAACAATTGGACCCCTGAGTATGAAAGAGAAGTTCAAAGAAATTCATGACCAACAGTTGAAGCTCTTTTTACCCATGCTCTTCCATTGTAGTTTTGAATTTGTATTATCGCTTCACTTTAGTTCGTTCCTTTATTGGAATGTTAAAGCATACTTCTCTTGCATTTTAATATTCCTGAACATTAAAAGGAACCATGAAAACTACCCATAAACCTTCTCCTTGAACGATTTAAATGAGATATGAACGTAGGAAATTCTGGACAGATTCGTGACTTCATTTCCCCTCGAATTTTGACCCTTCAAAAGTCATATTCAAGCTTAGATATGCATGAAAATCGTAGCTCTATAAGTTAGCTTTCCAACGATACCCAGATCACCTCAATCGGACTATAATAGACCGAGATATGACCAAAAATACCGAACAGTGACCGATTGCTGCGGGAATGCATGCTTTGACAATTTTCTTCCATTCCAAGACTCGCAATGCTTCCTAGACTTGTTCCCCTCCTTCCCATGCCAATAATTAACGTGTGCTTGAATAGAACCACTATCTTGGACGAAAATATAAAAATTTTGTTATGACAAGACTTGGACAATAAAATTTCTAAGCTGCCTACGTACTCCCACGAAGGAGATCAAGTCAAACGTAGTTCAATGATTTGTTTTTTTTTTAAAGGAGAGCCGTTCACAGTTTAGACTCATGCGGGCCAGGAGCCTCTATGATTTGGGCCCACCCATGGACAAAGCGAGATGCATTAGCAGTTTAACCACGTACTGCATTTTTGGTGGATATCATTAAGTAGTCTCGTTTACTTAATAGGGCCAACTTGTGCATCATTTTCATCAACAAGTTGTACATGTCCCCCGCAACCGGGATGTCAATTAATGTGGAATGAAGACGCCACCTCATCTTGGGTTGGTGTCGCTCCATAACTTGAATCAAGGTCTTCTTCTTTTCTTTCTTGCAGACGGGTGTATATAATGGTCTTTGGCTGGACCTTCAAGACTTCGTTACATGAAACATGAACATCAACTTCTCGTCTCATACGAGATGGAACTATACTTCTAAGCCTTTTTGAAGACTCTATTTCAATAGAAGTGCTGGTGTGTTCTTTTAAAACTCGAGAAGCTCCGAGTCTGTCATGTATGGACTTCCTCTTAGCAGGTTTGGGATTTGACCCAAGCCTATGAAAGGCTGACCGTCGTGGTTCTACCTCGCCAATCCTATCAAAGACTGATTGCCTCTTGTGTTGTTCCTCCTCATCGGTAGACGTGATGCAATTAATTGTGGCTCTGTTTATGAAGATCTGCACTGGTTTAGGGAGCCCATATCCTAATCCTTTACGTTCATGCGGTCCCTGCTGATTTGACTTGCCTTTACCGCCGGCTTCTGGGATGAGCTTCCCCAACTTCTGAGGCTCCTTGGGATTGTAGCCAGCTTTAGCTAGAAGTTTATAAGCATTGGGGTCGAAGCCATTAGTGCGCTTAACAGGCAACATTTCATCTATTCCATCCCGAGCATCGTTATCTCGGGTTTCTTCTCCAAGCGGTTTGGCTGGGGGAGCTTTCAATGGTTCAATTCTTGTAAGCGGGAAAACAAGTTCCTTATGGCAATGAGGTTGGTCTACGACTTGTTTGCCTTTCCACTTTGGATCGGGAGGTGTGTCAACATCGCTTTGGTCAGCCTCCTCTACAACTTGTTTCTTCAAGTAAAATTTTGCGTCTGCAAAGTACGACTCTGCTTCGATGAAGGGAGTTTCATCGGCGACTACCTTTTCTATCACACCGCCTTTTTCAAACATGAGGTATTGGTGCCAGGATGAGGGGACTACTCCATTCTCATGTATCCAAGGTCGGCCTAGCAACAAATTGTAAGACGTCATTGCATCTATCACATAGCATAGTGTACTTGAGTTTAGTGTTTCGATCCTGAGGTCGAGTCTGATGGTACCAAGTGCTCTTTGTCCGCCTTGATTAAATCTTTGAATCATTAAGCGGCTTTGAGAGAGCTCATCGGTGGAGATGTCAAGTTCCTTCATAGCCCAGAGTGACAGAATGTTCATAGCCGACCCTTGATAAATCAAAATCCTTTTAATCTTTTGCTCGCGGGCATAACCTTCAACAAACAACGGACGGTTATGTGGTGTAATACCAAGCAATAGATCTTCATCTTTAAAAGTTATCTCGGCGGTATAAGATGCGGCTTTGCGAGTTTGGACTTCGTTGCTTCCTTAAATCAAGGGGAATGAAGATTCTCCCACTTCAACATGTTCTTCATTGGTATTCAAACAAGTTCCAAGAATGTCTGTTCTACTCAGGCGAAACCCCTTTGGCATGTATCGAGCTAGGGTAACTGGTGCCCGTGGCTTGTTGGGACGTCCTTTCTTCTTCAAGTCATGGACGGGGTCCCTTGCCGACTTCTTCTTAACCCATTGCTTTGTCATCTTCTTTAATGGTCTAATATGACTAGTAAGATCAACTTGTGATGGTTTTAAGGACTGCACGTCAGCATGCTTTACTCTAAATGGAAGTGTGCATTTATGTTGCTTGGCCCCATTATTATCCTCATCTTCTATAAGTAATGGAGCAAACCTCCCACATGAAATTTGGTTTGTGCTTGCGCTAGCATCCGCAAGCTCTATCTTTCCATCACGAGCAAGCCCCATCACTTTATCCTTAAAGACGAAGCATTTTTCAATCGGGTGTCCGAGGAGACGATGATACTTGCAATAGTTGAGGTCATCCACCCTAGAAGCTTCTTCGGGGCGCTTCATCTCAGGAAACTCAATTAATTTGAGTTTCAGCAACTCGTCAAACATAGGAGAAACGTCAAAATCCAAGAATGGATATTGTTTCTCCTACCACTCTTCAACAATTGTTTTTCTAGCTCCCCTTGATGGGCCAGGGAATGATCTTTGCTTGGGATTCTCATCCACTTTGGTGAAAACCCGCATTGGTCCTGTCATCACGTTCATCGTCTCTTTCTTCTCTTGCTTTGGAAAGAACTTACTCCATTTGTTGACATCTTGGTTTGTAGGTGCCTTTGATGAGCTGGGCATACTTGACATGCTTAGTCCCTCATTGGCTTTAATACTCAATTCCATGTCATGAGCACGACTGGATAGTTCTTCAAATGTCCTGGGCTTGATTCCCTGCAAGATGTAAGAGAGCTCAAAGTGCATGCCTTGTATGCACATTTCAATTGCAGAGCTTTGTGATATCCTCACTTTACAGTTGAGACACAACTCCCTCCATCTCTCGATGAAGGCGCCTGCACGCTCACCCTTCCATTGGTGGGTAGTAGTGAGTTCCAAAAAACTGACAGTCCTCCTTGTGCTGTAGAAGCGGGTCAGGAACTCGCGCTCCATATCATTCCAGCTATCAATGCAACCATGATCCAGGTCGGTGTACCAATCAAAGGCAGTGCCCTTCAGAGAGTGGACGAACTGCTTGACGAGGAGATCGCCGTATGTTCCTGCATCATTACAGGTTTCAATGAAGTGGGCGATGTGCTGCCTTGGGTTGTCTTTTCCATCAAACTGTTGGAACTTGGGAGGTTGATTGTAACACCCCGTATTACGACCCCTAAAACCGATTAATCGTTTAATCAATTACCCAAAAGAAAGAATTAAATTACAGAAATTAATTAGGAAAAGGCCCACCATAGTCCGTGGGCCCTCATCTCTAAACCCAACCCCTAGTCCTAGAAGGAATAGACCCCAACTAAGACTCTTAGATATATAAATAGGGAACTTAGAAGGCACCTAGAACCCCCACCACAATAATCTCTCACCACCCAAAGAGTTCCAAGAATTCCCTTAGGAAGAATCAAGAAAGCAAGAAAGCGTAAAGAAAGACCCTTCATAGCCAAGGAATTAATTAAGGCTAAGAGGTAACCCATGTCTCAACAAAACCTATTTTCATAGCTATGATTCCCATCTTAGGACTTTCCCCATATTCTTGTGTGT